GTTTTGAGACAGGGTCCCTCTGTGTTACTCAGGCTGGCCTTGGATTTGCAGCAATCTTTCTGTCTCCGCTGTTTTGAGACAGGGGCCCTCTGTGTTACTCAGGCTGGCCTTGGATTTGCAGCAATGTTTCTGCCTCCGCCTTTTTAGTGTGTGTACTGCCACCATACCTGACAGAATTTGTAACACTTTTAGAATAATGTATTTCAGTAACTTACTTTTAGGGGACATTTGGGTTGTTTTCATTTATTTTTCTTGATTTAAATAATACTCCTTCAATTTTATGTCCTAATCACAAAATTTTGTAATGTCGTTCTATTTTCCTAGTGATACATTCTCAGAAATAAGTATATTAGCTCAAAGAATATGAACATTCTATAATTGTCTGGAAACTGCCAAATTCCTGAAGACAATCTTCTACTAAATAGGAGTGTGATTGCTTCTTTTGTGTCCCTAATTTTTCTTTCAGTTGTTTATTGCTACGAAGCTGAAATGTGAGACTTCACTGTTTTTCAGGTGAATTGCTGTGTGTATTGCTGAAGTTTGTCAGGCAGTTTTCCTTCCCTGTGCTAAGGCAACGTCCTTGCCTCAAGCGGCCCTCCTTTCTTTTTCCTGTTAAGGACACCGTCACTTTATCTGACTGTGGCTCTCTCCTCCACTGACTACTTATCTACTTTTCTCTTACTAGAGATTTCAAATTTGGGGCAGAAAAAGAAGCTGCTCTTATTTTCTGATGCATGTTTATCTAATCGTCTTTGGAAAGGAGTTTTCTGCTACAATATTGTGCTGTTCTCATACTCTCTGTGCAGTCTTAGCTTCTGTGTCTTTTATTTATCTCTATTCTGATCCACTTGAAACTGAGTTTAGGAATAGTCTTCCTTTTCCTCTTCTCGCCATCACCAGCAAACCAGATGCTACTATCTTCAATACTTAACGACACTCCTCTGCACTGTGCTGAGCGTCCATCTCAAATTTGTTTCCTTGTTCTCATTTCCAGAGGCCATGGCGTTCCTGCCCTAGCATAGAAGGTACGTTTTGACAGACAAACATCTAAAATATCTGTGCAGCTTAAGGGCAGGCTTCGTGCCCAGCAATACATGGCAAATAGAAAACAAACTGAGCTGATATTTTTAAAGATGTTTTGTTTTTGTTTCTTTTGCTTATATATCACGGTTTCTGATTTTGAGTTTGCATGGGCTTTCTCTGGATGTAGATGTGTGTATCTCTGAATCTGTATGTGTTTTTTTGTGCCTTTTTTTGGCTATTTTTCTTTGTTTTGTCATACTCTAGTTTTTATTTCACTTAATTATATTTTAAATGCCTGTTGATTTTCCAGTGAGAGAGAAAGATAGGGTATGGGTCTGGGTGAATGGGGAGGATCTGGGAGGAGTTGGGGGTAGGGAAAGTATGATCAGAATAATTGTATTAAAATCTATTTTCAATAAAAATATATAAAATAAAATGCCTGTGTGAAGATTCATTAGTTTTCCCCAGAAAGGTTCTCTCTAATTGGTCATCCAATACCAGGTGGTCATCTCTCAAGTCACACACAAACAACAACACTAATGGACAGGAGGTTGTACTTATACATTTATGTGAACATGTATATAACAATAATAAATAGAAAGAGACCATGAATTTGAAAGGGAGTGAAGAAGAGATATGAGAAGTGTTGGAAGGAAGAAATGGAGAAAGGAAATGGTGGAATTATATATTAATTTGAAAAAATGTTAAAAATAAAAATACTTTGAATGAGGAAAAAACATAATGGGATTTAATAGTAATAAAAATAAAAACTATATTCTCTTTCAAAGTATCCCTGAGATATCTTTCTTTCAAACATGCTTACAGTCTATTTTGTTAAGTTGTATAACAATGTTTAGAAAATACATTGTAATCATATTGCTATGTTGGGGTTACATGAAATTAAATATTTATTAAGCAAAGTGGGTTGTTTGTACAAAATAGAATGTGGAATATCTGTCTACTTATCTGAATTTTCTCAGTTGAATTCTATATATTGCTTAACTTGATGATTATACTGTAACTTTTACTTTTACTCCTGGATACTTTTAACAATTTTAGAGTAGATCGCAACTATATTTTTGTTTAAAGAGTTACTTCTTTGTATGGAAATTGTGCGCATTCCATCAATGTGTAAAATAAGTACAGAAATAACATGTAAGCGTGCTAGAAGAGCGAAAGCAAACAAATGTACGCAGAAACGTGCTCAAGGAGCTTCGTTTCTATGTTGGTAACTAAAAATTGCTCAAGAATGTGGAAAAGGTGGAGCACATTACTGTTTACCACAGAACGTGAACTCCTCGGGCTTCTGACTCAGGAGCAGCCTCTAGTTTCCCTCGTCTCCTGTGTTGTACAACGTGAATCCCTCATGGCCTCCCGCTCCGTGATATTTGTCATAAACAGTTCATTAGGAAATGTCCACTCCGTCCCGGAACAGTGCAGAGGTGGGAAGGCGTAGCTTAAACTGCTAAAGTATTGATAAGGGACTGATGAACCCTCAGTGGAAGTTGTCACTAAGTGTTCATGTCACAAAGTTAGGACTGTGATACGGCAAGCTCTTCTGGATACATTATTTCAAGAAAGAAAGGGCAAGTGCAGAACAGAGAAGCTGGCATGGCCGTAGAGGAAGATTTAAGTAGGTGAAAGAGAGTGTTGTCTCTTTGAATGTTCACAATGCAAATAGAGAATATAGAATTCATGAAGAAAAAAATTAAGTTAAAATCACTTTGAAAATATACAGCAGTATCTCAGGGAAGAGCCTCATGGCGGGGACTGACATCACAGCACAGACGCTCCCGTGTCCCTCCTCCTCCACTGTTCCGTTCGCCCATTGACGGTGTCGTCATTCTGGATTTACGCTGCATAGATGACTGGATGTGCTTACCTTTAACTTCTGTTCTGTTCTTTTTCCAAACTTAACTAGCCTGTATTTCGAGCATCCAGACAATGAAGGCATCCAATTTACTGTCATTCAAAGTAATGCTACATACACTATGTAACTGCATAGTCATATTTGCATTGATCTAATTCTTATTTAACAAGGGGTAAGTCTGCGTAGAAGCACCACTAATAAAACTTGAAGGAAGGGTGGGATAAATGAGACTACATTGGTTTAGAAATAGCACTATTATCGACATGCCAATTAACCCAGACCTTCCGTTACTCAACTTGGGGTGAAGCTCTCCATCTAAACCCCCTTTTTAGGGCTCCTTTGACCTCTTTGTTACGAAGACTATAGATAAAAGGGTTCAAGGTCGGTGTGACCACTGCATAGACCACACTGGCCATGCGGTCATAGTGAGCTGAGTAGGAGGATGATGGCCGGAAGTAGACAGAGAGGACTGAGCCAAAGAAAAGCGACACCACCACCAAGTGGGCCCCACAGGTGGAGAATGCACGACGCCGGCCTCCTGTGGTCCGCACTCTGAGCACTGCCACAAGGATGCATGTATAGGAGAGGGATACGAGGAGCAGAGGAGTCAGCACCATTGCCAGGCCCTCCGAGAAGATGGCAGTCTCTGCAGCTGACGTGTCAGAGGTCGCCAAGCTCAGCATCACGGTCATGTCACAAAAAAAGTGTCGCACTGGGGCGCACCGCGGGTAGGAGAG